ATGTGTTTATGATAGTTGCAGTCTCCTAGAATTAGAAAAAGTCACAAAAATGGGGCAAAACCCACTTAATTGTAAGTTGAAGACTTCCTGCAAATAATTTGGAGTTAATACAGTCATTTATTTATACCTTGCAAAAAATGTTGGCTGTATTTGAAAAGAAAATGTTTTCCTCCAAATAGATTGCTAAGTTAGTACTAAATTGCCTCATAAGCAGATTCACCACAGAGAAAAATACACATTTTGGTGGGTCTTTATAAACATTTCTTTAAAAATACAATTTTTAAAAGGCATCACAATCTGTTTCTAACAATAACAACATGAAATGGACTTGTCATGAGTGTGTCTCCTTCCCTGTTACACAATTATGTAGACTTGAGTATTTTGGAAAACCTGTACATTAGTGATGTTACATGCATAAACATTTTTAAATTTAAGCTTGCGATAGCTTAATAACTGTTAAATTATAGTGTGAGACTTGTAGAGCTTTGAAGTAAGCAAAGATGGAAGTTGAATTAAAATTTATTTGCTTATTCTATTAGATATTTGAAATTGCCATAATTTACAGGGTTGGTAGCTTCAGTAGTGTTTGTTAATCATTATTACTCATTACATGTGAAAAATATTTTTGCCTAATGGTTTTAGGCCGGGGTCGCCAACATTTTGGCCCTCAGGGACCACCAAAATCATAATTTTCATTCCCAAGGACCACTAACTGGTTCTGTGGGCGTGGACTAATTTGTGGGTGTGGCTTAGTCATGTGACTGTCTGGGCATGGCTTGTATGTAAATATATTTATATAAATATTGATTTTTTTTATTAAAAAAAGAGCAACTTTTACCCAAAATCAGGCAAAGCAAGCAGATTGAGTTGCTCACAGAATTATTCAGTGATCAATCTGCCATCAGCTAGCTCAGTCTCAAATTTGTTTGCCATGAGTCTGCACTGAATTTGCTTGCAAGCAAACCTTCAGTCCTAAGGGAGGTTTGGTTGTGCTGAGCCGAAGATCTAAAGACTAGCTAGAAAGCAAGAAATCCAACCATTTCCTGCTTCCTAGCTAATCTAAATCTCGGCACAGCAGAACAGATGATGGTTGGAAAAAGGGAAAATAGCAATTTAGCAGGCAAGTTTACTGGGTAAGGAGTAAGTGGGCGGGGAGGGTTCCCGTGGGCCATGTGGGTGGCGCAGCCTTGTATTTCTGCGCAGCCTGAATTAATTGCTTTGTGGGGGTGCTCTGGGGGTGAGATTTCTCTGGCCCACCAACATTTTCTCACGGCCCACTGGTTGGCGACTGCTGTTTTAGGCCATTATTCAATTTTTTTACATTGCTTTGTTAATGCCCTCTAGTGGATTATTGCAATAACTGTAATTTTAAGAAGGAAAAGACTAATTCTAAGGCTACATTGTATTTGAACTTTTCACAGGAATCTTTCTAGATGTTAACATCTGACAAAAAAAAGTTGATTTCATTCAGTGCTTATTTGCAGCAGGAGCTATATTACCTGCAGTACACCGTTGGACATTTATAGAAATACAACACTGGCATGTAAATATGCAAAATATTTTTCTAGCCATATAATTTAATACTGGGGAAAATCTGCATATTTCCTTGCAATATGAGGGAATTTGTCCTCATATTCTCATAATCAATTACAGTAATTAGTGTTTTTGCCAAGTAGAATCTCCTAAAAACTAGTAAGACTTTGTTGTTCTGGCAGCACATAGAATAATTTACACAGTAGATGCAATATTAATATGGATTAGAAGAAACTTAACATGTGTGCTAGTGTATATTATCAGATTCTCTAACGTGTGATCACCAGAAAAGTTGCAATTCTACAGGTGTATATAAAAAAGGTGGAATATGACTCATTGAATTTTAATACAATTCACACAATACAAGCTCTAATTCAATAGTACTAACTTGAACTGACTTAACTCCCACAATATGCAAAGCCACAGTTTACATAATTATTTAGTAAGCTTTAAAATTCGTACAAAGAATGAGTAATGATTTATAAGCATAGTGGGTGGATTTATACAATAGACTAAAATCCATTTTTGCTTCGAGGTACACATGAAGAGAATCCATGCCAGATTGTCTTTAGAATAATGTGTATGGCAAAAGGACTAAGTGGTTTTGTTGCAGTTGTCTAATTTCACAAAATTTCCATGATATACTGGACCATTAATTACACAGGTTAAAATGTAATTGGCAAGGTTGTAGTTAGGTGTGCTTTTCAAATGCTAACAAATGCATTAATGTAGACAGCATCTTGTGCAAACACACCCCGATTGGGAGAGGTCACTCATATTTTAAGCTGTAATCTTCAGCTGCATTTGGAAATGTCAAGAACTAAATGTTACATTCTGAATATAAAACATGAGCTGCAGTCCTTTCATATACCTTTCCTTACCAATGTTATGAATCATGAATACTAAAGTCTAAAAGAGTCACCATATAGGTGAGGGGAAGCATGAAAATTAAATAAGAAGAATGCCAATTTCCATGAATGAATTGTTACATCTCCAAGCACTTTAAAATGTGGACTTCAACTCCCAGAATTCCCCAGCCAGTCCATACATCTTAAAGTTTCTAAGGTAGAGAAACATTGTTTTAAAAATGTTAAATATATGCACCTGCTCATATTAGCCAGAAATACTTTATTCCTTTGTTCTGAAGGTTCACTGAAACTATTACTTCAATAAAAATATTTTCAGTAAACATCTATGGACACACAAACTACACCTGATAACTTCTAAATCCAAATGCTTATATACACTATATACAATATTGACATCCCAATAGCTGAACTTGTTTAGACAAAAGTCTGCTCAATTAAGCTTTCAATCAAGTGTGGAGATTACACAGCTGCCCCTCCCAGAAGTATCAGTAGGATATGGGAAGGGCATATAAGCATAAATTTACTTGCTGGGTTCTAATTGGTCAGCAGTCACTTATATAAAACTTCAGGTATACAATGACTTTTGCTGGGAAACTTGGAGGGAAGAAAATAAAATTTTTAACTAGAAAGGCAGTGCTTCTATGTCTGTAACTTCCAGAGAAATAAAAACAGGTAAAATACAGTTCAGGATAAAAACAGAAGTCAAACGTATTTGTAATAACTATAAACAATGTGTAGAGAAATGTATGCTTATTTAGAGGATCTAATGATGCTTATCCTGAAAAAGTTTGTGGCTAATTTGACTCTCGTGGTATACTCTGCTAAGCTACGATTTGTTTAAACCATGATCTATTAACCTACAATGGCTAGGTTTACTCAATATATTAAGCCATTATCAAACAAAGCAACTTAAGGTGTAATATGTGTGAAAGACCTAAAATAACCTTATTTAATGTAAAGGTTAAACTTGAAATGAGGAAAATACATAAAATAAGTATCTGGGTAAGCAATTATAATTGAGTACATTTTCTGAACCAGGTTCTCTAACATAATCTAGAATTTGAATCTATGTGTGTCATAAAAGACAGCTACTATATGGTTTGGTTCAGAAGCTCTTATTGACTATCCTTTGGAAATTTACTTGTGGAGAAAGGTTTACTAGTGGTTTATTTGTGGTTTACTAATTACAGCCTTACATGTTTTGTATTTTCACAAAACCATGCCAGACTAACATAATTGGGCCTAAAAAAAATTCTGAAAACTACTACAGGACAATAATTTATTCTTCTCTTAGATTCTGTTTCTCAAATAATAATGTACTCATTTAACTGGCTACATTGATAGTTTGCCTACAGGCTAGTAACCATCAATGCCAATTTGAAAGAGATCTTGAATAGATATTTTCTAAGATCTGAGACTGCTGAAAGTGGCTTGAGTGGCCACTTTTCACTTCTGTTGATTAAATAATCCCACAACTGGAATTGGACTGGAAATGAACCAAATGGAGTTTACAAATTCAAGCAGACATTCTTTGATCTGGAATTCCATTCTTATGACTACCAGGCCAGAACATAAATGAAAGGCTTGGTTTTCAAAGTATAGAAGCAAATCAGTTGAAGCCAAAATAGGATGTGGAGCTAAGTCAAAATCAATTTTTATTTCTTGCCAAAGCAATGATCACTTTTTTAATTTTTTAATGATCACTGCATGGTTGTAAGATCAATTGCATAATTGATCTTACAACCATGCAGTGATCATTAAATTTATTTTGTGATGTGCTAAAAGTTCTTTTTTTAATACCTTTAAAGCTCTACCTGGGCTAATACATCATATTAAGCCCTTAGTTTTATCTTGTGCTACATATGATTTTTGTTTTGTTTTGGTGACATTCAAGAACCATTTATCTTTAATAAAGAGAAGCTTAAATTCTGGTGATTTCATGGATACAGCTAAGTATTTGGTTTTGTACAACAACATAGAAGTGCTTAATTGTTGCCTTTTTATTTATTTATAAATATTTTACGTTACTTCGACTTCCTGCTAGCTCATAGCTCTGATGTTTCCCAATGATCTTCCCTCCAAGCACTTTTCATTTCCAAAATCAACTAGCTGAGCAAAAATAAAAACCTCTCAAGTTGAGCATAACTGCTGACAATTTCCAAGCACTTTGGAGGCTTGGGGGGGGAGAATATACAAGTGATCTGACATTCAGGAAGAAATTTGATCAACTTCCTATTCTGTAGCCTTAGGGCTCAGTTCTAGTTTGTTTCTAAACCCAGGCAAAGTCAACTAGCTGCACCACCTGCAATGTCTCAGAGTACTCTTAATTTATCATTTGTGGTGGATTTTAGATTCATCAGTTTGGATCCTGAATGATTAAGCATATTTGAATTGAAATCAATGGATCTTTATGATAATGAAAATTTGTTATAATTGGTTGTCTAATAAGTAATACTAGGTTCATAACACTAACTCTACAGTTTTTTGTTGTTGTTAAAAAGGACATTACATACAAGGTAGGATTTTTTTTTATCTGCTGTCATATAGTGAAGAATGAATTGCCAAGAAAATTATGGAACTGCTTTCATGGGGTGTGGCATGATAGAAGCAGTATCTCATGAAGAATTGTCTGAAGTATCTAGTCCTGAAGAACATCAAGAAGTGAAGGTAAACGACTTTCTGTTTAACCACTAAAGATGTGTGACCAGATTTCTGTGGCTTGATGTAACATACTGTTTGTGAATGCTAAATTATTTAACCCTCAAGTCTATAATCCCATGAAATCATACAATGGAGAAAGCTCCTATCCCACTGATGAATCTTAAATTATATCATAAAAGGACCAAGTGATTACAAACATAATACAAAGAGTTAGAACAATTTGTTGTTTTCATTACATGGTTGCTTCTCACAATGACTGAAAACACAATATAAGGAAAATGAAAGTTAAAATGACCATGTGCTATGCTACCAGATTAATAGACCTAAGCAATAAAAATTGCTATCAAACTGTGTGGCCTGATTTATGGATTGTGTGAAGTAATGGTTTACTAATTCATAATTTGTTGTATAAACTACAAGTGGTTGATTCACAATACAGGCTAAGTCATAGATTATGGTTTATAAACTACAACAGTAGTATGTAAATCTAACAAACCTCATTATGGCATATTGTGATGCTTGAACCCTGACACAAAGTTTGATCCCTTAAAACCAGAAATATTTTTCACCCCATCCCATATGTAGGGTAGTTAAATCATGAGCATGAACAGAGCTGGTTTTACTAAAAATAATGTTTGAAAGAAGTAAAATTTTAGGCACAAATTTAAAATTGAGGCAAGCCAGAAAGTAAATGGTAACATATTCAAGACTAGTACATCTAAATGATAAAATTGACATAATATATTTATTAATTTCTTCTTTAAGGAACTATATCAGCTACTAAAAGTTTACTTGAGAGTTCGGCCCTTCTCAAAGGCAGAGCTTGAAAATAATGAAAACCAGGTTTGTTATACATCATTTTGAATATTCAGAACTAGTAATCTAAAAATATTATGTTCACTATTTTGGTTTCTTAACAAGCTCTTAGGTTGTTTTTCATCATCATTGTCTAAGTATCATCTATACTAGAATGTGTTATTGATTTGCCTTAACAATGCTTTTGTCATTAACAGAAGTGTGTCTTCCAGTATATTTCTAGTTGATTTCTGAAATAATTGCTGCAGAACTGTTATTATGGCTCTCATGTTACAAGGGGTCCTCATTTAATGACCACTTGTTGGGTGTCTATTTGAAGCTACCATGGTATTGAATGAGGAGACTTATGACTGATCCTGTTGCAGCCATTACAGTGTATTTGTGGTCATGTGGTCACAATTCAGGCAATTAGGGCATTACAAATATCCTCACATGATCGCCATTACTGAGCTTTATTGCTGGCTTCTGACTGGAAAAGTCAGTGGGCACACTAGCAATAGGCTGCAAATGGCAATCATGTGACATCATTGCCTAACAACTATGCGAGATTTTTTAATGACAGAAACCAGATCTGACACAGTTGTTGGAAGCCAATGTGATGACATCTTGCTGCCTAGCAATAGAGCTGCTGCTCCCAATTACTGTTTTTAAGTCTGTACAGTCTGTACTTGGCAGCCATTTGTTTCACCTGTTCAGTTAGGAAATATTTTGGTATAGATTTTCATTTTATGAATTTAAACATATTTTAATTTAACTTGTATGCTTTTAAATAGTTTGATTTCTGTAAAAGACTGTGCTATTTCTAATTCTTTTAATATGTTTTTATATTGATTGTGTTTATATAGATTAAGTTGTGCTTTAATTGAACAGCAGTATGAAATGTTTTAGCAATAGGATAGCTCATGCATTTTTAAAATAAACATACAAATAAAATAAACAAGTGGGTAAGTTGAAATGTACAATAGAGCATAATATTTAGATCCTAAATTCTAAATATGTTGGTTCTCCTACCTGAATGTATATCAGAAAATAACTTCTCCTGGTATAGAACATTTTAACAACCTTAGCAATGTTAAGATGTATAGAACTCCCAGAATTCCCCAATCAACATAGTTAAAGTTGTCAACATTTGAAAAACACTGCTATAGAAGAATATATTCTGCAATTTCTACAACTTTGGGCTCCATCGAATTGTTATGAACAGTAAATGGATAATACAAGGGGTTTGCATATACTGCATATCTTGGACATTGTGTCATATCATTTCAATTTGTAAAAGACATTAAAAAGTTTTTGTATTAAGGACTGCTTAATTATTGAAAATCAAGAAACAGTAACACTTCAGGCTCCAAAAGAATTGGCACAAATAAAAACTAATGAAAAGAAGATTGGACAATCTGCACATCAATTTACCTTCACAAAGGTAAGTTGCCCCTCTTTCTCTTCGTGTCCCAAATTTCAGAGTTTTGAAACACACGTAAAATAGTGTCAAAACATTTTTTTTGCTTCCCACTTTTCCAGGTCTTTAAGTAATCAGTTTATTCAGTTGAACACGTAATATGTAAAAAATTGCACTATATAGTTAAGTACAAATTAGTTTTCAATAGTAACCAAGTAACCAACAATATTATCTTAAGGGAGAAACTAATCATTATTTCAATGGAATCAAAGCTTTCAAAATCAGATTGGATGTTACATTATCTGGTCCAATCATCACATAAAACAGGGCTGTCAAACTCACGGCCCACCGGCCAAATGCGTCACATGCTGGCCACGACCATGCCCGGTTTAGTGGAGGAATAAGTCATAAATGTGTGTGTGTGTGTGTTTGTGTACACACACACACACACACACACACTCATCTGCCATCATCAGGCTTCTGTATTGTGTTCGTCTGACTCACAGAAGCCCAATGATGGCAGATGAGATTCTGCCGAAATGTTGCTACAACTTTAAATGTTGCTACAACTTTAAAAACACAACTATAATGACGTGGGAAAATACCCGAACAAAGCTGAATACCATACATGTAAGTACCCATGAAAACGTAAGAAAACATGTATGTATGTATGTGTGTGTGTGTGTGTGTGTGTGTATAAAATCATTTCTAACAGCAATTCCTGGAGAGTCCAATTTAAATTAGAAGCATAGTGTTTGAATTTGAGGGTTAACCTCTTTAGCCTTTCTAAAGCTAAAATAATTTATCTTCCACAAGTGCTATTTTGAGTGGAAAATCCAACATGCACTTTGGTGCTTCATGAGTTAAACAATCTAGATACAATTTTTTTCTCATACATAATTTTTTCATCACATAGTTAATATTCACAAGGGAATTTTATATCTAATATCCATATACCATAGCTATGTTAGAAAAATTATGTTCTGAAGCCAATGCAGATTTTTCTTGTGGTTTCATAAATGGAAAACTTGATAAAAAGGGGTTAAAAAATCTAATAGTGTTTTTGGAAGAATCTGTACATTCCTTTTTTAAAAAAAGTAAAAAAGGGTTGTAAAGATTGTTTGTACAATCTCATGCATCCCGTTTAATATGTCTCTGAAAATAACTTGTATTCTCTGTGTAGGTTTTTGGACCAGATACAACGCAAAATGATTTTTTTGAAGGCACAATGAAGGACATTGTAAAAGCTTACCTTGAAGGAAGAAATGGGCTTGTTTTTACTTATGGCGTTACTAATGCAGGCAAAAGTTTCACTGTCCAAGGTATAATCTGAGGTTCAAAATTCAGAACATCTTCTAATTTACAGCATGAAAGGAAACAAAATTAATTATATCCTTAGGTTGTCCAAAAGATGGCGGCATTCTTCCTCGTTCCCTTGATATGATCTTTAATCATATAAAAGGAAG